GAGAGAGAGAGAGAGAGAGAGAGAGAGAGAGAGAGAGAGAGAGAGAGAGAGAGAGAGAGACTCTCCTTCTTCTCCTTCTTCTCCTTCTTCTTCTTCTTTGCGAGGGTCCGCGGCGCACGATCGCAGGCGGTTGCCGCCGCTGCGCTGCCATTGCCTTGCGCGCGGTCATTGGTGGGTGCCATCGCCGCGCGACCTTTTTTCCGCACGCGGCGATCTTAGTGCCCGGCCGCGGCCGATCACGACCGATCGCGGCCGATTGCGGCCGATCGGGGCCGAACGCGGCCGATCGTGGTCGGGTGCTCGCAAGGCCTGAGGGGGCCGAGAACGGCCAGGTCCAGCTTCAACATTTGGGACCGCGGAGGCTGCAGCGGCGTCACGACCATTCATCGACAAAGCGCCGGGCACGGCGACATCGATGGACGACACGACAATTGCGCCGCATTAAGTCAGCCTCAGTCAGGGGACGATGAAGGGGGGTGCGGGGCCCAGCGGTGCGGGGGGGTCTGCGGGTGGGGGGTTCATCGCGCAGTCTGAGAGGGAGATGGCGAAGTTGAGGCGGGGGAACGTGGTGTGGAACTTCGTCACCGCAGGACAGCATGTGGGGAACCAGACAAAGATGCATGGGGACCGAAAGTTGCGTTGCAACTTTTGTGGCCACTTGTTTCAGGGGAATGCGGGGAAGGTCGCGCGCCATTTCACGCAGTCCAAGTATTGCAAGGCTGCGGGGATGAGAGTTCTCGCAGAAATATGGAACGGCACGGACTACATATTCAAGCTCGAGACTGCTCGGCGCGTGCGGAGATGGATGGCTGACGAGGGGGTACGGGACACGAGAGCAGCTGCGGGTGGGCAGCGATAGCGGATGGACGAGGGAAAGTCTGGAGAGAGGGAAAATGTTCAGGACGCCCTCGATGAGGAGGAGGGTCTCGAGGGTGGGGTTTGGGAGCGGGGAAAGGCTGACGAAGCAGTCGAAGACCCTGACCTGCCAGGGGAGGAGGTGGTGATGACGTCGAGAGGCGTCGGTCGAGCGGGTCCCACTCCTAGGGCACCACGACCTGAGGTGGAGCGCGCGAGGAGGGAGAAGAGGCCGGTGGGCGAGGGCGGCGAGGTGCGGGAGACGGCCACGGAGAAGAGGGCTCGGGAGACGACGATCGACGAGATGTACGATAAGGAGAAGTTGGCCGAGTTCCATGACGCGTGGCTGCAGTAGATCTACGCGAAGGGGTTGGCATGCAACGCCTTCCGAGGTCCGGAGTTCCAAAGGGTTCAGCGGGTGGCAGAGAGACTGTCGCGGACAGTTCAGTTCCGGTTTCCCGTGTACATGGTCACAACGGGCACCAGGATCCCTTCGCAGAGGGGCAAGGTGGCATCGATGATGAGCGAGGTGCGCTCAACTTTCCAGCACAACGGTGCCACCATCCTCTCGGAAGGGAGGAAGTCGCGCAGCGGCAAGCCGCTAGTGAACTTCCTCGCCGGGGGCGCCAACGGCGCCCTGCTGTACGCCACCGTCGCACGTGACGGGTCTTTCCGCGACACTACGGATATCGTGTACCTCTGGAGGCGCCATGAATCAGGTTTTTCCTAGGATGGGCAGTCACTAATTGGTACAGCTAGATGACTTTGTTCAACAACACTCCACGCCTAAACTTCTTTTCCGAGGAAGCCCAGGAGTCTCGTAGCATTCAAACATTGCAACTCAAACCCGGAATGTAGCAGGTGTCACCAGGGGAGGTAGCCACTACCCCTATGCGTCTGCTGCTACACCTCAGGCTCAGGATGTTGCAGGTTCTTCAGGTGAGGATTACTACTTCCCACATTTAGCGGCTGGTTCTTTTAACCACCTGCAAAGTAGGGTTTTGGGGCACCTGGCTGAGAATTTTAGCAATCCTTTTGGTGCTGAAAACTCCGGTCAGACCTCAAACCTTTTTCCTTCCATCTTGGTCGCAGGCAGCTTCCAAAGACTAGGCGCACCCTCATCTTCATTCCCCAAGAAGAACGATAGGTCAGTCAAGAGTTTCTTCAACGAGATGGTCGTTTTTCTCAGAAGCAAGAATGACCCCACTGATGATGAGGTGGAAGCTTTAGCTTTGTGCTACGAAGAGAAACCTTGGATAGACATGTAAACTTGGTGGTCAGGGCTATGCAGGTATATCTTAGCTACATGCACTGACCTTATGGGAAGCAAGAAGCAGAGGGATTTAGGTACAAGCCTATTAATTATCCAGAACTTCACTGCGACGAGGACATACCAGAATCTACTCAGCAATTTTTTCAGCAAGCCGAAGTCAGGTCCATGATAAAGGTCTTCCCCAAGTTATTGTCGGATCGGCATTTATACAGATATACTGCTGGCCAAAGGTAATCCTCGCCTATTGATTATCTTGAACTTTACTGCGACGAGGATATACCGGAATTTACTCAGCAATTTTTTCAGCAAGCCCAAGTCAAGTCCATGATGAAGGTCTTCCCCAAGTTATTGTCGGATCTGCATTTATACAGATATACTGTTGGCCGAAGGTAATCCTCAGGCAATGATCTTCGCCACCCATCCTCTAAGCCTTAGACTATCTAGTTAATTCACCTCAAAGGCTCAACCCGAAAAAAAAAAGAAAAAAAAAAAGAAAAAAAAAAAGGAGAGAGATCGAGTCTAAAGAGGTGAACTAACTAAACTAATGGTGAATCTTATGAGCTATTGAGTTTCCTCCCTTTAGAGGCTCCTATTGTGGCCTCACGACCTTTTCCAGTGGGAGGCTTGCTATCTGAGAAATTGCTCAGCCAACCTCCTATTTCTCCATGAAGATTAAAACCAAGTACGTCTTTACTAACCAATTTTTCTTTTTGCATGAATGGAGTCGACCAAGAGAAGAACCCTATTCAACAAAACCAGAAGAATAACTTAAGAGGAGGGGGAAAAGGAGGGTACCGGCAGCAGAATCAAGGTGGTCAGGATACGGGGTTTCTAGGACATGGAACCCAGCCCGACCACGAATGAGTTATTGGAAGGATTTCACCACCTGCCCTCCTTGGAGGATGTGAACATAATTATCTTCAGGCTCTCAAAGATACAAGACTGGCTAAGACAGCCAAATGATTTCAAAGGGAATTCACTTGCCACTTATCTCTCGGAGTTAACTCAATTGCTGAAATGGCATGACACATCAGACTCAAGGGCAGTCCTCCACTGAATTGAAAGGGGGGTTATCCTCAACCTCAACGGAACCTCTCATTATGATCCTCGCAAGATAGAAGAGTTAGCTCGTGTAATCAGACCTGTGATGACCAAAGCGAAATTTAGAAAAACCCTTAGATACCAAGCGTCACTTTCGGTACATTTCCCGTCCTATGAGCACTCTGATAGGGACACATCTTTTATTATCGAGACTGTTCAAAATTTGTTGACTCATGATGTCATTGAAGAATCCCCTTACCCGGTTATGGTTAATCCAATTTTTGTTCTCGAGAGTTCCTCCAAACTAAGATTTATTATGGACCTACGTTTTGTGAACCGCTTCATCTCTATTCCGAAATTTTATTATGAGTTTGTCTCGGATGTTGCAGCCGCTTGTTCAGATATCCCTCTCCAGGATTTTCTCACCTCCTATGACTGTCACATCAAAAATGGTTACTATCCTGTGATGTTTAATGAGATATCTCAACCCCACCTCGCGTTCGAATGGACTGGAAGTTTTTCCATTTTATACCCTTTATTTTGACATCTTCTCGGCATGTTAGATTTTCACAACCATCATGCAGGAGATTATGGCCTCACTAAGAATTTTGAAAGTAAAGATTTTTTCCTATATTGACTACTATAAAACACCCGCGGACGCGCCCTCGAGGTCCAGCTCGGATGGCGGCCGTATACAGGCCGCGTCCGCGACTCACCTGGTCCCCGCCGCGAACGCAAATTTACCATATGTTTCCTGAATTAAATCATGGGTAAAATATGGGGTTGTAGGGATTTTTAATGCCTACACCCCAATATTTTTTTTTAATTGAAAAACGATATGTTTTTATAATTATAAAAAATAAAAAACAGAAAAGGGGGAGAAGAGAAATTCAAAACAAAATTAAAAAAAAAGTCTTTTGGGGGGGCAGAGATTTTTGGTTGGCAGTTATTTGTATTCTTCTTTTTTACTTTTTTTTTCCTTTTTCTTTTGTGTCACTTCGGAATGGAAAATATATATAAACATACATATATATATATATATATATATTTATATATATATATATATGTATATATATAAAATATATATATATATACAGAGTTGCATGGCCGAACGTACGGAGACCCCTAAGCTAACCCCTGAACGTTTGGGCGTTCGGGTCCCCGTACGGGGCCCGAACTCGAAGGGAAAATATTTCAGTACCTAACAATGATTATTTTTTTCTGATTTTTTCTGGTGAGTTCTCTGTTATGTAAAGTTTCTGTCTCTCAATTTTGAAGTCATTCTGTGAGGCCAAAAAATAATGGAAAATCGGCAAAGATGGTGGTGTCAAAACATGCTCTCCCACTTACTAATTTGTTTTTTTTTTCTTTTCACTTTTTGTTTTCCCTTTATATCGGGGCCTGATAAACAATATTATTTTTTCAATCTTTATTTCTAGGTTCTCTATGATGTAAGATACAGATGTATAAAATTTCATGTCATTTGACAAAGGAAAAAAAAAATGAAAAATCGCCAAAGATGGCGGTGTCAAAAACTTGCTCTGATTCTTGTTTTAGTTTTTCTTGTTTTCATGAATATTATTTATTTTTCGTATTTGATTTTTATTTCCAATTTGGTAAGAAATTTGGATGTACTATTGAGGCAAATGTTGTTTAGTTTATTCTTCTGCATGACATAGTTGTTTTGCAGAATTTTTTTTTTTTTTTTTTTTTTTTTTTTNTTTTTTTTTTTTTTTTTTGGTTCCTCGTTCGGCCGAACGTCCGAACGCGTCGAGAGGGGTTCCCAAACGTTCGGGCGTTCGGGTTCGGGTGTTCGGCCCGTTGTGAGGAAACCCGGGGAAGGGTCGCCTACCGTTCGCCGAAGCCAAATAGCAACGGCGCCTATCACTCGCCGCGCCCGCCTCCGAGGTCCTCGACGATCAGCAGGGTGATGGCCTCAGCACTCACCGGCTCCATGGCCATTATGAGTTTCATGTCCAAAGACTCTCGCTGCCTGTAGGATTATAATGAGATTAATTAATCAGAAATATTCGCCATTCTTCGGGCTCGCCTTCAGCGGTAGGGCCCCCCAACCCCCGTCACTCTCTCTCCGTCTCATCAGCCTCACATACTCTAGGGGTTCAACCGGGCTCAGACGCCCAGTTCGTTGTATCAGACTCAAAAGTTCCCAAGCGTTCTCAGGCTTAACCAAGTATCCCCGTACAACTCAAAAGAAGGGATTAAATAAACTATACTTTAAATGAGTAACAAATAAAAATAAGTTCACTTGAAATATCCTCTCCCGCTGGCAGCGGGTTGCCTGATTTGCAGTTCATTTGAAATACCCTCCCCCGCTGGCAGCGATTTACCTGATTGGCAGTTCACCTCGAAATGTACTCCCCCGCTGGCAGCGGGTTGCCTGATTGGCGGTTCACTTGAAGTGTACTCTCCYGCTGGCCGCGGGTTATCTCATTCRCAGTTCACTAGAAATGTGCTCTCCAGCCAGCTGTGGGTTGGCCAATTGGCAGATCACGAGAGATGTGGTCTACCGCAAGCAGCGGGTTGCCCGACTGTCAGATTACTGGAAGTGTGCTCTCCCGCTAGTAGCGGGTTGCCTGCTTGGTGGTTCACTTGAAATGTCCTCTCCCGCTAGCAGTGGATTGCCTGATTGGCAGTTCACTCGAAATGTACCCTCCCGCTGGCAGCGGGTTGCCTGGTTGGCAAGTCACTCGAAACGTGCTGCCCCGCTAGCAGCGGGGATGCAAGTAGGGTTCAATTGCCAGATTGATGTGTCTGGCTGCTCCCGCTATCATTGGGGGTACTTGAAATGCTTGATTACCGAATCAGGGAAACTGGTTGTTCCCGTACTCAGCGGGTATACTTGGAATGCTCAATTACAGAATTGATGAAATGGTCGTTCCCACTATCAGCAATTATAATTGGAATGCTCGGTTACCGGATTGGTGAAAAATGGTTGGATGTAAACTTCTCCTTATCTCTCCTACTTCGTGCATCAGTAGCTGCTATTCCCGCTAGCCTGATCTACCGT